GGAGCCCGATGCGGGACTCGATCCCAGGACCCTGAGATCATGACCTGAGCCGAAGGCAGACGCTTAACCATCTGAGCCACCCAGGCGCCCCGGGCATTGGTATTTTAAAAATTCCTTTCAGTTAATTCTAATGGACACCAGGTGAGAAACAGTGCTCTAAATTCCCAAGAGCAGTGCCTACACCTTCCCTGTCTTCCCCTCATGAAGCTCGCCAGGACTGCGCAGACAACTCCCCCTGAGGGGCTACTGTTCATTCCTTCCCTTGCCCGGCATGGAGGAGCTCCCCTTACCTTGGAGGTGTTTCTCCACCACTGTGAGCTGCCTTGGCTTGGACTGGCAGCCCTGGAGTCAGCCTCATGCCTGCCCCTGAGGGCTGCGGGTCAGGCCTGCTGAATGATGATCCTTGTTCTGTACCGAGTAAAGCCTCCTGGCTGGTGGGGGCCTCACGGACCCCGGTGGATGCTGCAGACAATTCCTGGCCAGTCCCAGGCTTCTCAACGAATGCTCCGGGAGTTTTGGCTTCTGCCTCTGTGGGCAGCGGCAGGAGGCCAGGGGGCACTTGGGCTGGGCCAGGAACTCCTTCTTCCTGCCCTGGCGGGGCCTCTGCCTGAGTGGGGAGGCCAGATCCTATCTCTGAAGCATTGACGGGGCTCAGCCTCTCCACCGTCCCCTCTGGGAGGCTCGTCTGCTGGCTCTCTACGGGAAAACAGGAAGCATAAAAATGTATTCCTACATGGAGGACTCTATCCTAAAGATATTGCAAAGGATCTGCAAAGGCCATTCAGCGCAGCATGTTTATAATAGGCAGACTGGAAACAACCCAACTGACCAACAGTAGGAGGCTGCTTGACTAAACCATGGCCCGTCACCCAGGAGCACTGCACAGCCATAAAAAATAGAGAGACGCGAATATCTCCAGATGTGGCTATGGAGTGATCACAGGATATACTGAGTGAAAAGTGAAATAAGAGCCAGGTGGAGAAAAGTGTGTCTGGTGTGCTTCTGTTTGTCTAGGAAGGGAAGGTGTGTGTGTGTGCGTGTGTGTGTGTGTAAGGGTGTGTGTGTGCGTGTGTAAGGGTGTGTGTGCGTAAGGGTGTGCGTGCGTAAGGGTGTGTGCGTGTGTGTGCGTAAGGGTGTGTGCGTGTGTGTGAGGGTGTGTGTGCGTAAGGGTGTGTGCGTGTGTGTGTGAGGGTGTGTGTGCGTGTGTAAGGGTGTGTGCGTGTGTGTGCACACGTGCACGCACATGCAGGTGCATGTGTATAACCACTTAGAACATCGCTTAAAGACACAGAAAGATAAGAAAAAATTTTGTAAATGGTTCCATATGCAAGGGAGGAACAAGGATAGAAGCTAGACTTAATATCCCTTGTTTTGTCCATTTGACTTCAGAACCATGTCAATATTACACGAAGTTGTAAAAGAAAATGAAACTTGAATAAAAGCAATCCATAAAGATGTAAAGCAAAGTGAAATAGACCTGAGATTCAAGTTGGTGGCATAGCTTACACAGAAAGGAGCTAGTCCAAGTGACTTTGGAACAGCAATACATAGTGGGATATATGGAAAGGATTAAAAAAAATGAAAAAAAAAAGAAGCTTCAACAGTTTTTTAGTGATCACATTGTTGGTGGGGGCACTGGTATTTTTCTTCTGAAGCTGTTATGTGTGCAATGTGGGATACAGCAAATGGGGTCCCACTCACCTTCCCAAGGCCCCCTGATCTTGGCTTGCACAGCTCTGGTGCTCAGTGCATGCTTTGGTTTTGCTCCTTTCTCTTCCACTCTATCTTTGTTCTGAAAGAACAATCATCATCATCATCATCACATCATCATCAACATCACTGTTCAGGCCACAAACATTTGTTGAACACCTATCCTGTGCTTAACGTAGAAGTATTTAGGTTATTTCACCTGGTCTCACAGTAACACCAGAGGGTAGATATTGCTACTGTCCTTTTAGAGATAAAGATACTTATCCAAAGTCACCAAGTTCTTTCTAATGTGTCATCATATTGCCAGTAAGGGGCAGACCTGACAGGGGCTTCTAAATAGACTGTACTTCAAAGTACTTAAACCAGGGATGGAAAATAAATTTAAAGTGTCAATTCAGATCAGTCTGTCATGGCTATTAGAGTGTTGGCTTGGCTTGGATTCTAAAGTCCGATTAACCCATGCCTGTTTGCGGGGCAAGGGGCAGGGAGGAGGGCTGGAATTAACAGTGCCTGCCAGGGAACCAGGTGCATCCTACCGTCAGCCCTTTACAGAACAGTAGCGCGGCCGGAAGCACAGCCTCTCCCTGACTCTGGAGCCAGGACCTGCTGGGTTTAAACCCCATCTTCACCCCTAACTTCTCTGTATCTCCCTTTCCTCATCTGTGAAGTGGGGAGAATATTATCTGCCTCCAAGAGTTAATAAGAGGATTGGGGGAATCGATCTGTGGATGCCCTGACAAGTGTGCCCAGCGCACGGTACATGCTCAGGAGCTCCGGGGATTTTATCCTGCCTGAGACAGGGAGCTCTCTGCCATCAGTGACTCAACTGATTGATGCGTGGGTCAACTGTGTGAGGCCCAGAGGAGCTCGAAGCAGCTCGTCCTTTAACTCTGAGTGGTCTGTACCAGGCCAGTGTTCTTCCTCCTGAAATGGTAGAACATTCAGTATTTCCAAGTGTAAATATTTCTACACGGCCTGACTCCTTGCCGGGTCCCCCTGGTGCTTCTGGAGGTTTTAAGCCTTTGACCGGTACAGCCCCTCAGACTCCTCCTGGTCTTTATCATAGCAGCAGGTCTGGTCAAGCACTCACCTCTGAAGGCCCTTTCCCTTGCCTGGGCCACAGAGGCCCCAGCTGGGAGCCAAAATGAGCTTGAGACACATTTTGTTTGGCCTGCGCAGCATTTAAAATTTTTAAATTTGTTACCAACACTTTAAATCTAGGAGACTTTTACATTAAAATTCTAAGTTCCCTTTTGGGGCTTAGGATTGTTCTACATTCTGATTGTGGTGGTGTTGATTTGGGTGTATACATTTGTTGAGCGGTGTACTTAAAATGTACATACTGTGTGTGTGTGTGTACCATTTATTGTATGTAAATTATACCTTCATAAAACTGATTAGAAACAATTCTAAGCTCCCAGATGCTCCTGAAAAAATCTGAAGATCTGGCAACTTTAGGCCCACATGGCAAAAATTGGCTGGAGCAGTCCCCGCTAACGAGGCACCACAGTCCTCCTGACTTTAGAATGCCTCCCTGGCACTGAGCAGGAGGGTTGGTCCCACTGTTTTTCCTACACTGTACCCACTTCTCTGCACCCTACTACCTGCTCATCCTTTTGGGATTCCAGCACACCATGCTTTGTCCTCTTGCAGATAACAACCCATGGGAGCCCTGCTGGCATGTGCGGGGCACGTAATAAATAAAGCCCAGAAGCTGTCATCATGATTAACACAGCACCATCAATGTGACCTGGATCCCCTTACTCAGCAGAGGCCTCTCCCTTGACCTCTTTCTGCAGACTCCGTCCTGCCACCCCCGTAGCTGGGGGAGCTGGAAGCTTTATCACGGGATGCCTCCTGTGTTACCCCGGTAGAGAGGGACTCGAACACACTGTCCTTTGGCAGACCTTGTGGGCCCAGAGTGTCCTCTGCTCTTGGTGTAGGTAGGCACACACACACACACACACGGGCAAACACACACACGCAGTTGCGTCGTGTCTTCAGGGCTCAGCCTTGTGATCCCTGCGCTGTCCAGTGCATTCAGAGGAAGGAGAAGAGACCCTTTACACCATTCTGGAGGACGGGTGTCTTCTGATTGCCTCTGATTTGGGCCCAACCCTGGCTGAGCCTGACCCTGTCCTTCATGAGAGAGCACCTAGCTTTTAGTAAAAATCTAATTCATTGTTACAACCAAAACAAAGTCCCACTGGGCACTTCAGAAAACCCAAGGAGGACCTTCACAAAGTCCTGGCACAATTTCTTCTCTTTTTTTTTTTTTTTGGACTTCTAAAAATTGCTAATTCCAGTAGAATTAATATACAGTGTTATATTAGTTTCAGGTGTACAATATAGTGATTCAAGGGACGCCTGGGTGGCTCAGTCAGTTAAACATCTGCCTTCGGCTTAGGTCATGATCCCAGGGTCCTGGGACTGAGTCCTGCATCAGGGAGCCTGCTTCTCCCTCTAGCTCTGCCCCCTCCCCCACTCATGCTCCCTCTCTCACTCTGTCTCTCTCTCAAATAAATAAATAAAATCTTTAAAAAAAAATAAAAATAACAAAACAAAACAATATAGTGATTCAACACTTCCACACATCACCCAGTGCTCATCACAAGAGCACTCCTTCATCCCCATCACCTATTTCCCCCATCCTCCTACCTACCTCCCCTCTGGTAACATCAGTTTGTTCTCTAGAGTTAAGAGTCTGTTTCTTGGTTTGTCTTGCTCTCTTTTTTCCCTTTGCTCGTTTGTTTCTTAAATTCCACAGTCCTGGCACAATTTTCAAATTTAGGAGCCAGTGCTAGGATTTAATTCAATTCCACAAATCATTACTATACCCTCTTAGGAAACTTGAAGGGGTCTCTAGAAAGTCTCTGTTTTCAGCACCAACAATGTGTTAAATAGCCGGGGCTATTATAACCATTCTCTGACACCTCCTGTGAGGCCCGCCCTGGCCACAGTCCACAGCGGGAAGCAGAGGCCTCGTGTCACAGACCAACAAGGAGCTGACAGTCTGACTGGGGGGCTAGACCCAAACCTGTAGATGGTTACCAACAAGTATATTAAACACAAAGACCAGAAGAGAGATCAGTCACACGCCAAGTTGAACAGAACAGACAAGAAATATTCCAAGAACTCAGAAAAGAGAATGTTCTATGATTTCCCCCATGCAGAAATTCTTAAATATCTGCAAAATGTTTGGTAGCTAATTTCTCTAGTATATGAAGAGCTCTTACGAATCAATAACTACAAAAAACTGAAATGGAAAAGGACATGAGCAGACAGTTCACAGAAAAATACAAACGCTTTAAATCTGTGAAAGATGCTGCAACTTCTAGTAAAAGAAATATAAATTAAAAACTAAATTGAGGTATATCATTCTATCTACTTCTGGTTATGTTTGATATTTTCCATAATGAAGAGTTTTAAATTTCTTATGAATTAAAGAATTAGCACTAGGAAGCATATAATCAGTTGTCTTATTTGAATCTTGATTCAGATAAACAAACTGTAAGAAAAAAAAGCATAAGATGATTAGGAAAATTCGAACACTGGCTTTGGCAATATTAAATTACTGTTTATTTTTTAGTCATGATAATGGTATCGTAGTTACATTTTTTAAAAGAGCCCTTACCGGGGTGCCTGGGTGGCTCAGTTGGTTAAGCATCTGCCTTTGGCTCAAGTCATGATCCCAGGGTCCTGGGATCAAGCCCCGCATCGGGCTCCCTGCTCAGCCGGAAGCCTGCTTCTCCCTCTCCCACTCCCCCTGCTTGTGTTCTCTCTCTCTCGCTGTCTCTCTCTCTCTCTGTCAATTAAATAAATAAATAAAATCTTTAAAAAAGAGCCCTTATCTTCTAGATATAAACACTAATGTTTGTGGAGGAAATGATCTAATGTCTCAGATTGGCCTCAAAATAATCTAGAGAGAGGGAAGTCCATGGGGAATAGATGCAACAACATTGGCCTCCCATTATGGGTTCATAGGGTTTGTGATACTAATCTCTATTTTTATAAATGTTTGAAATTTTTCATATAAAAAAATTTGTATTTTGCAAAAATTTTCAAGTGTTAAAAAAAAAACACACTCATAATAAGATCTCAGTTTTCAATCACCTCACAGGCACAGAATAAAAACGTTGGATAACATGCTTTGTTAGCAAAAGGGGAGGAAACAAGCATTCCCATATACCGACAGGAGACTAAATGGAATAATTCCTTTGAAGGTCACAATTTGGCTTTATGTACATAACTTTACCCTTTGGCTTCACCTTGCCACTTCTAGGAGAGTATCGTAGAGATAAGCTCACACTTCTATGGATACTCACTGCACCATTATTTGTAACAGCTAAAAATGAGAAATAATATAAACAATGATGTGGGACTGGTTAACAAATTAAGACACATCCCCCAACTGGAGCACTCTGCAACTTTAAGAAGGAGGAAGCTTTCTATGTATACATATAAAACAATGCCCAAAATATATTAAGTAAAAAAAAAAAAAAAATCAAGGCCAGAATAATGTGAGTGATATTTGAGTTAAGACCAAGTGGTGGTGCTTATAGATAAACCGACTACGTCTGGGAGGTTTCGCAGAAAACAGGCACCTACGTCTGCATGGGGAGGAGGGTGGTCCTGGGGGCTGGGGGCTGGAGTAGGAGGCACATGATGCTCTTTATACCACACGAGGCAGACGCTTAACTGCTTAGCCGATCAAGCCCCCCAGGGCCCCCCATGAATGTTTTCGACCATGTGCATATATTAGAGTAATTTTCTTCTTTAAAGCTGAGGTTGATGGGGTGCCTGGGTGGCTCAGTCGGTTAAGTGTCTGACTCTTGATTTTGGCCCAGGTCATGATTTCAGGGTTGTGAGTTCAAGCCCCGTGTGGGTTCTGTGCTGAGTGTGGAGCCTGCTTAAGATTCTCTCTCTCCCTCTCCCTCTGCCCTTCCCCCACCTCACTCTCTCTCCCCTCCAAAAAGTAAATAAATAAATAAAAATAAAGCTGAGGTTGCTTATCAGTGAAAGAGCAGAAGGTCACGCCTCCCCCAAAGGCCAGACTCATAGGAGAGGTGCAGAAAGCAAGGAGCTAGGGGGGAGGGGCATACTTTGAAAGAGGCTGCAGGGCAGGGCGTCAGGGAAGGGGTCAGCAGGGTGAGCTCTGGCCTGGCCGGGCATGAGGAAGGAAGGCCCACTCCTGCAGCTTTGCTCTGGAAAGCCTCAGTAGCTGACACAGAGTCAGGCAGAGCCTCCTGTAGACCCAGCTTATCTCTTGCCAGGAGCTGGTGGATAACTACAGTGATCTGAAATGGTGGCTCCAGGCCGTCTGAGGGTGGCTAAGTGGCTGACTCTTAGCTGTTCCCAAACAGAGTGTTGCCTCTGCACACCTCACACACACACACACACACACACACACACACACACAGCCAGCCCGGCCAAACTTCCATTAGCCAGTGGGTTTGATTATGTAATCCTTGGGAACAGCCGCTCCCAGAAATGCCACACTCCTCCCCCAGGCTCCGGCTCCTTCATGGCCTGTGTCCCCCAGGGGTCACTGTCAACACTCATCTTCCAACAAGCAGCTGCACACTCCGCCCACTCTGGGACCCACCGCAAGGTTGGGGACAGGAAGGGGAGGGTTCTAAAAGGGGGTTCTGTTGGGGTAAACTGGCTCCCACCTGTTTCCTACTCTAGGTGTGACAGAACAGAAAGGAGCAAAAAGTCACTAGAATGTCCAATAAGCTTCACTGTCCTCCTCTCCCTAATGGCCCACTTACCCCCACTTCTAGGTGCTCTGAAGCTGCCCAAAGCCCCACAGGCCTCACCGAGGCACTGCCTCTTCCTTTCCCTGGGAAGAGCAGCCAGGCAGTGACCTGTCTAGAAGTCCACCTATAACCTTTAAAGTTGTCTCTCCTTTTCCCCCATCAACAGGTCATGCAGGTGGCACAGGAAGGGAACAACAGCTCCTAGTGCTCCTAAGCCTACTCGTCTGGCTAGTGTCCCCACCAGGACCACTGGATCTCCCTTTCAGCCAGAAGGGTACTGGGGTAGGGAAGCAGGAACCAACCTCCAAAGGGCCATCAGCCAGGCTTCCTTTCCTCCAGGGGACACTCCCTTGCATGATGAAATCCACCACCTTCGAGTTCTGGAACACAGTCCCCACCAAAGCTATGGCCTTGTCCACGGCCACTACCATCCTGAACAGGGCTTCAAGCTTGGCGCCATGCTGGGCAGCATCCTGCCGCACAGCCCTCACCAGCTCCAGGACCTCCGGCCACCCAGCCTGTGAGTGAGCTGGAGAAGTGTGGTCAGCCCCACCTGGGCCCAGAATCTGATAGGCTTCCAGCCGGTGTAGACCTTGCTCCAGGTGGCCCATACCTTGGTACACACACTGCAATTTCTCCGAGACATCTTCTTGGAAATGCAAGAGTTTGTCAACCTTCTCGTTTAGCACATTAAGCTTTTTGTCCATGGTGGTTAAGCAGGCCTTGCCTGACACCGGCAGCCCCTGGGTCTCCAAACCCTCCTTGGAGGCTCCAGACATCCTGATGCAGGCTTGACAAGAGCGAGGAATCAGAAAAGCCACAGACTCCTGGTTTTCACTTGGGCAGTGGTACCTGGAAGTTCATTGTTCTTGATAGCTAACAGCCTCACCCCGCAGCACCAACCCACACAGATCGTCTGGGTGGTTTAGGGAGCCCAGGGGACCAGGCTGTCTCTGAGCCTTCGCCTTTGCTTATCTCCCGCTCTGCCGTGGCCATGAGTGACAAGCTGGGTTTGGCAAGGCCCTTCTCTTTCAGGCCCTTTTGACATCATGGCAGCATTTAACATTCCTCTCTGAGAGGGTGCTGATGGGCAAATATTTTAAGAATCTGCCCAAGGCAGGCAGGGCTTTGGATATTTGAAACAAAAGGGTAAAAGAAAGGGGTCCTTTAGGTAATGAACCAGAACACTGGACTTCACAAGGGGCTTCAGGGATCCCAGGGCAGAATAAGACCTTTAGCAGCCCGAGCGCATGGTATCCCACCTGCTGCAAACACACTGAATTCACAAAGAAAAGCAAGACCAAAAGTAAATGTGAGGCCATTCTGATTTTTGCCACGATAAAAATGTTGATGCTTCTGCAAATTAAAAACAAATTTTTGGTGCCCCCACTTTGCAGGTGCCCCAAATAAGTGTTTGGGCTGCCTCTGGGGTATGTCTGCAGGTCCCTCCCCACAACAGGCCCTCAGTCACTAGCCGCTTGTACCTAAAAATAGAAGTGAGGGCAAATGGCTTAGGCTACTCGCCAGGTGCCATCCCTCAGGTCATGTTCCTCACAGAGCCCTCCGGGGCACATCTGCCAGTGGTCTCCCGCTGCCCCCCGTCCCCCCACGCTGCTCCTCCAGCACTGACCACGCACGCAGGCATCGGGCACCCCAACTCTGTACACTAGAACAGACATAGCAGCAGCCTCAAGGGCAAGGGGGCCTGTGTTTCCTGTAGCTTCCAAACGTTTTAGCCTCAAAACTCTTGGTTCAAATGGAGCTGTTACAAAAGCATCGATAAATAAAAGCAGACAAAGGGGATGCTCAGGCTGACACTGAGGTGGGTGCCAGGAGGTGCCACAGAGTCCCTAGGCTGCTGGGCAGCAAATGACTGACACCAAGATCTTCCAGGCCCTCCTAGGGAGAAAGCTAAGGGAGAGGGAATTTGCCCAAGGTCGCACCAGCACAAGGCCTCCTGAGGCTAGCGCAGCTTAGTCAATGCTGACCCCAGGACGGCGGGGGAGGGTGGGGGGGGGCGGTGCAGGGGGTGTCTTTGGTGTCCTGCTAAGCTTCCTCCTTCTGAATAAAAGCAATCATGAGAATAAACTTTGACCTGGAAATCTGACATCTAAAACACCTTTAGATCATTTTGCTATTTTAAGCTACAGGTGACTCGCAAGCACAGTGTGCTTGCTATGCAAGTGCAACTTGACCACAAACCCCTCACCACCTGTCCCTCTACCGGGAGAGCTGCCCTAAGCAGTCCATGCAGAAATCCAGACCCATTTCTGGGGCCCAGTCCTGCGTGTCAGGGGCAGAATGGCCTGGAGCATGCTCAAAAGAACACTGGTCTCTTATAGCACTGTGATTTAAAACAAATACACAAACTCTCCTTGGAAAAAGAAATTTGGGGAACACTGTGCTCCAGGTCCTCTTGGGGATTCACGATGCCCCTCCGTAGGACCTCATCTGCCATGGAAAGAAACCAGCACCTGACCAGGGAATCACTCCTTCCCCCACACTTAGCACCTCTCACTGCTCTGTGGGACCAGGGGTCCCTGATCACACTTGGGAAGCAGCTACGTAGAGAAAGCTCTGGGTCTAACACCAGCTCAGTGTCTGTCCTACAGCAGGTACGGATAATCGAAAGAGACAGACCCAGCTCCGGGAAGGAGTTTCCACCAGTGCCAACGGCAGGCAGCTGCTGTGGGGACCTTCCGAGCAGACTACACCAGTCGAGCCTGGGCTTAATCAAGCCTGGACACATATCTTGAAAGTATAGCTGAACCCCAAGAAAATAAAATGTCCCAGACACATCTATATCGAAAGCTAATTATTTAAATTACAAAAGGATTTGTCCCAGGTCTCCCTTAAGCAACAAGTGATTGCAAAGCACCTGGTGTAGTAGAAACGTGGATACGGCAACCTCCACTGTTCTAGAACCACCTCCCCTCCTACACTGTTGGTGGGAATGCAAGCTGGTGCAGCCACTCTGGAAAACTGTATGGAGGTTCCTCAAAAAGTTGAAAATAGAGCTACCATACG